GTAGAGAATATTGTATAAAATTTCATAATGAATATTTTGTAAATAAAGGTACATTTAGCTACAATATCCCATTTTCCCTGTGTATGGCGACTTCAGGGGAAACTTTTGTTTTGAAATCTTGTTTTATTAACTCCTCAGGTTTTCTTTTTCTTCTTTTTCTTTTTTGTTTAAGGTGTTCAGACAGGACTTCTGTATTAGAATTTTTTAGAAAAATGGAGGCTGGTATAACCCTACAAAAATATGTGCAAGTTAACACAGTGCTTACCAGTTAGGGAGGGATATAGCTTATCATGACACTGATAGGTAAACGCAGGTATGACGCTTGAAAAGTAACAGGAAAAAACTGGTTGCTGGCCGGGTGCGGTGGCTCAGACCTGCTGTCCTAACACTTGGGAGGTCACCCACTTGGGGTGGGTGGATTGCCTTAGCTCAGGAGTTCTAGACCAGCCTGAGTAAGAGCAAGACCTTATCTCTACTAAACATAGAAAAATTAGCTATGTTTTTGTGGCAGGCACCTGCAGTCCCAGTTATTTGAGAGGCTGAGGGAGAAGAATCACTTGAGCCTAAGAGTTTGAGGTTGCTGTGAGCTATGATGACATCACAGCACTTAACCCAGGACAACAGAGCGAGACTCTTGTCTCGAAAAAACCAAGTTGTTGTGGCATTCAGCCTGCTCAGGGAACACTACACAGCTAATTGGTGGAAAGTTACTCCTCATCTATTGACAGAAAGGCTTGAAAAACTGGGCCAGCTGAAAAGAAAACACATTGAGAATAATGAATCTTGGGGTCAAGACAACTAAAGCCTAATTGTTAATAGGTAAAATAGTAAATGAACGAATATTACATTAATGATTTCCTGCTCACGGAGGGCTGGTGGGCACAGCTGCTTCTCTATTGAGCTACTGACCTACTTAGTGGGCATCTGAGTGGAGGGACGTGCCACTTTCCCAGGCTGGTGGTGAGGGATGATCATCCTGAACTTCTGAGAAAAGAGAAGGCTGGTGGTGCCGTGAATCAGGAGTGACACATGAGGTCTGGAACTCAGCCCACTCACACCTGTAACTTTCATGCTTGAGCAACGCCCTTTGAACAGACAAAGGCACACCAAGAGCTCTGGGGGACACATGAACTTGCAGGAGAGCTGACAGCCTCACTCAGCGGGAAGAGATTTTTCACTCTGAGGGAAACCCAAGTGAAGAATTAAGGGACGATTCTGAGGTGAATCTTTTCCCCTTAAAAACAAAAATTTACCTAGTATCAGGGCTTTTGTTCAGTTACTATAAGAAGTTATTACTCACACAATGAGGCTTTGTCTTCTATATGGAAATTACCATTGCTTCCAGCTCAGTAAGAAGTCACTGGTGACTGCTTCTCTCTCCTTAAAAGGACTGCTTGCAGAAGAGGGTATTTGTAAGGGAGTCTGAAGATTTTAGTGGAGGAAGAGTCACCCCATTGTAACAGTTTCCAACTCATGAATTCATAGGAGAAACTGAAAGGGAATCCGAGCTCGGCACGCTGCATCTGGATTAGACGACTGTCATGGTGTTACTTACACTGGATAACTCTGAATTTCAGAAAGGTACAGAAGTCAGACTTTGGAATCACTGCTGCCAAATTATAGTGAAAGGCCACACCTTAGTGGGTGGGAGTAAGTTTTCTCCCAATGGTTAATGGCACTGTCAATTATTTTGGGAGAAAAGAATGCTAGGATGAGAAATGAGAATTTAGGGAGACCCACCACAGCATAGCTGAGGGGAAACCTCTTTTCCTGAAGGCCAAACATCATTTTGGGTCGGACATGAAGTTCTCATGGCTGCCTGGAATAGCATTTCCATGGGAATGGAATCAGCGCTGGGGAGTGGGAGCTTGTCAGGAAGATAAAAGAGGAGAAGGGACTGTTAAACTTAGTGGTGATACAATATTTGCAAATTATTCTTGACTTAAACTTATATCCCTTGGCAGAATTCATTTTTGTGCCACAAAAAGAACTATTTAAACCAATCTTTTATTTGGTTTTAATTTCAGCTTCTTTTCAAAGATTTCTCTGTATTTATTTTTTTTTTTTGAGTCTTACTATATAGTCACCTTCGGTAGAGTGCTGTGACACCATAGCTCACAGCAACCTCAAACTCTTAGGCTTAAGCAATTCTCTTGCCTCAGCCTCCTGAGTAGTTGGGGCTACAGGCTCCCACCACAATGGCTGGCTATTTTTTGTTGCAGTTTGACCGGGGCCGGGTTCGAATCTGCCACCCTTGGTATATGGGACCTATGCCCTACTCATTGAGCCACAGGAGCTGCCCAAAAGAAATTAATTTTTTAAAGCCTCATATCATTCCTGACATTATAAATGACTCTTTCTTGTAGAAAAGCTCAGCTGTTTTTGTTGCAGTTGTCACTATTATTTAGCTGGCCCCGGCCGGCTTGGAACCCAACAACTTCGGTGCATGTGGCTGGTGCCAAGCTGATTTCTCTGTTCTTGCCAGCAGATGTGTCTCAAGCATCACATGTTGTCCTGGTAGTACTTTACAGGAATGTTTGAAGAAACCCACACTTGCCATGTCACCATCCATATGAGCCATTGAGATGAGCAGGTGTGTTTGAGCAGCACCTGTTGGTGCTGAGTTGTGCAAGGCAGGCTGGCTCAGTCGGCCAGTGGGCAGCTCCCAGCTCCTAAGATCAGTTACCCTTTCCATGGCCAAAGACTCCTCCCAGGAATACACAACTCTTGTTAATTATCTTAAGCTTGACTTTTGTTGATAATGTAATAATTCACATGAATTCCTGACACTTCCCATTTTTGATCCTTTGTTATTTGCTCTTCCCCTTCAAGTTAACAACATAATAAGGGAAAATAATAAATTGCTTTCTCATTTTGGTTCATTGTCCTTTTATCAATGACTTCCAACTGATTTTGGGATAAGTAAGGTATTTAATGGAGATTGGAGATGTTTCAAAAACCTTTATATCCCTTATAATATCACATAATGTTTTAAAATAGAATCCAGTTCTAGCTCCCTTCAAACTGAAGCTGATCTTTTAAATATGAGTGGGGTTTGGAGAATTTGGAGAAATTTCTCTGAGAATGAAGAACCTTCACACCTCAACAGATGGGTGCCTTGGGTGCTCCAGAGGTTTGCACCAGGGAGCCCAAAGTACAGTGTCTGTGTCCTGAGAGGGAAGCCTCATTTCAGGGAAGCCTCAGACATTAGGGAACACATGTCTTAGTCAAGAGGTCGCCAACCTTTTTAGCACCAGGACCCAGTTTCAAGGAAGACGGTTTTTCTACCGATGAGGCATGTGGCGGTGGGTAGCTGGTGGATGATTCAAGTACATCACATTTATTGTGCACTTCATTTCTCCCATTATTTTATTATACATTAATATTATATACACACATACGAAATAATTGTACAACTCACCATAGTGCAGAATCAGTGGGAGTCCTGAGCTTGTTTTCCTGTAACTAGGCGGTCCCAGCGATAGCATCACCACCTGTGCTCCAGGCATTAGATTCTCATAAGAAGCCTGCAACCTAGATCCTTCGCATGCAGAGTGTACAGTAGGGTTTCCTCTCCTGTGAGAATCTCATGCCACAGCTGATCCGACAGGAAGCAGAGCCAGCGAAGGCGAGTGGCTGTGAATATAGAGGATCTTCCTCGCTCCCTCCCTTCCTAGTTCACCTCCTGCTCTGTAGCTCAGTTTCTAACAGGCCACTGACCAGTGTAGCCTTTTGCCCCGGGGTTAATGACCGCAGGCTTAGTCTATCACAGGTGACCAAAATGGGGCCAGTGAAGGCCGTAACATGCTCTCCTGTTTAAACCCGACTGTCCGAAAGTCTGGACTTCACAACTTTTGAACGGACTTTGAGGAACAGCAGCAAATATCTGAGAGCGGTTTCCTTTTGAATTCATGGGGACTTAGAGGACAGAAAGTCAATTTAGGCAGAAGTGAGGGAATATGACCCTAATGTTGTAAACTCTGTCCCTATTAAAAAGTCTACCGTAGTGCGCTGCAATGACTGCCTTTCTTTCCTCCTAGGCTTTGAACTGTTTGGAATGGGAACTGGGTTTCCTTATTTTCCTTTGTTCCATCTCCTTATTCAGTACGTGGTTGACTCTGGGCTCTGATAAATGTTTGCTGAACGATACTGAAATTGTAAACCTCGCTTCAGAGTAAGTTTCATGCAGGTATTTCTTTGACCGCAACTTTGAAAAATTTCATTTTAGTATAATCGCCATGTAGGTAGTAAAACAATAATTTACATCTCAGAACAAATTCCTTCTTAGAAGGCTTATGTAAGTCCACAAAATAGGCAGGAAGTGAAGCTCTGAGGGTAATCGCTCCTACTTGGGCTGGGTAAAACGGTCAGGTCAGAACTTTTTACTTGATTTTAACTTCGGTCACACCAAATCCCTGTTTATTCATGCCACTTAGGATAATTTTCCTTCCGTCGTTTATTTTATCACGTCAGTCAATTTTGAAGAGAATACAGTACGTGTTTTTTGTTTTAATCTGAAGACATCGCCCAGAATTTGTTCCGAAGTTGTAGGGCGGATCCGCTGATCCAATGACAAGGGTGTTCCTGGCACCCAGGAGGGCCCGTGTTGGGACAGGGATTGCTGCAGGCGGACTGGGTTTTGCAGTGAGAATGCGCCGCTCAGCGCCGGTGATGGGGACCCCAGGGAGACTATCCCGGCGGCGAGGGCAACGTTGCAGGCCGGGCAGGGTGGCAGCGCCGCGGGGCAGGCGAGGGGCGTGGGAGCGCAGGATGAGGACGCGCCTGGGACCGCTTACCCGAGTGCGAGCGCCCCGGCAGCCTCTGGGGAGCGGAGGGACAGGCTCAGGCAGCTCCCCAGCGGTGATAAAACTTGAGAAATAACAAGGAGGGGCCTCTTGGCGTCTCCTGGGTCCAATCCCGTCTCCGGAGCGAAAACGCTCACAGGCACTCAAGCCTGAGAGAGATCAGAGAGACAGACAAGCAGCAAAGAAAGACGCTCCTCCCGCGCCCCTCACTCGGCGGGTTTAGCTCTAGGGATCCCCGCCCGACGCCCTGGCTCTCCTTCCCCTGCCCCGCGCCCGGATGGCTGCCACCGGGTCCCAGAGCTCCCTGCACGGAGCTCTCTGCAGGCAGCTGCTGCTGACCGTCTTGGTGAGCCACCTGGCCCTCTTCAGAGGGATCCGGGATGGGGAAAGGGGTGGATTCGCCCAGGTCGCTGCTGGGTGGGGTAGGAAACTAAGCGGGCCGAAACGTGACATCCCCGGCTCAGCTCAGTCCTGCGGGACAGGCAGGAGTTGGCGCCTGGAGGAGTGAAGAATGAAAAGGAGTCTTAGAGGGATGACTCAGGGCTCAGCTTTTTGTTCTGGGATAAGAAAAATCCCGTTCGATTGTTTGAATTGAGTAGCGCTCGGGCTTCGCGGCGCTCTGGCGGGCACAGTCCGCCGTGGGTGGGCAGGATTGGAATTCCGGCTCCTCCTCTGGCTCCCCGGCTGGCGTTGGTAGCTGGGGACGCCTTCAGGTGGGGAGGGAAGGAGAGTGCTTTTTGGCCAGTCATTTGCTCCCCGAGAGAGCAAAACATAGACGTGAGATGGTGTGGAGTGGGCTGCCTCCGGCCAGGTCCCAGCTCATCTCCGGTGGGTTAGGGACTGCAACAATCGGAGCTGTCGCTTGGGTCCCTGCCTGGAGTTGCCTGTGAGAAGCGAGTTTCGAGGCTTTATCTCCCCGCAAGGTTATTCAGGAGCTTGTCCAAGTCACCCACCCCCGCCAGCTGCGGGGTCAGGGGCGGAATATGCCCGGGGCGCGAAAGAGTGGGAAGGGTACTGGGTGGACTGGAGTCTTGGTGTGATGCGGGGCGAGGCTCGGTGCGCTGCGGGACAGGGTCGGGGTGGTGTGGAATCGTGGGGTGGGGTGAGTCGTATTCAGTCTGGGTCGAGGGAGGAGTGCGCGGGCCCAACGCCAAGTCTGGGGTTTGCGGTGCCAGGGAAACCTGGTTCCGAGATCCATCTGGAGAGGAAGTTTGGGAAATTCTCGGAGAACCTAGAAAATGTGAAGCGAAAAACTCGGGAACTTTGACATTGGGATAAGCGTGAAGCGTCAGACTTCACCAGGGTAGCACTTGGGAAAAGCAGAAATAAGCCGCCGACTCGCGACTGGCCGGCGCCCTCGGATGGGCCTGGAGTCCTGTGGGCTAGAGGTCTGGGCCAGCCCTGGGAGTGGGTCGACTGCGACTTTGTAGATTCTTACTGTTACGCTGGCAGGTGGGTCCAAGCTTTGTCCTCTCCTCAAATCAGAGAGATAAGAATATTGGATGGGTAATAATAATCTACCATATATATAGGACAAGGAATTGTACAGCGACACACATCCATCCGCCCCGGACCTCAACAAAAGCTGCTGAGATGACCCTGTGGAGTAGGGACTGCCCACACGTGGGTCCTTCGTGGCATGTTTCAAAGTATTTCAACCTTTTCTTTGTGTAAAAAGCATTTGGTGTTCTGTGGCTCCTCTGCGAAGGGATTAGAGAGCAGGAAGAAGAAACTCCTCCGTGTTAGCTGCAGAGGGGGCGTGGAAGACCAGGCGCTCTCCCCGAGCCGAGCGTGGGTTGGGGTGTCCGGGTGGAGCAAGGCCAGAAGGAGCGAGTGAATCTAAAGAGAGAAAGAAAGCCTTCAGCTCTGGTCTAGAATATACACGTTTAGGGTTATTTTTAAAAAAGAATTTTATGAAGTTTGGATTAAGTGATATCTTTGGAGGCTTGAATGCTGGGGCATGTACTAGAATGATAATTCCTGTCATCTGCAATTGTCAGTTCAAACTCTTTCAATTTCGGTCCAGATGGATAAATTAAAACCTGTAGTGACCATCTCGTGTCTGTATTTCTTTCCTCTTTTACTAATATAGCTCCCAACTTTTCAGTGTAATACTAATGACATTGTACATTAGAAACACTTTCTATTTAATGAAGTTCAGTGGATCTCTTAAAAACCCCGCCTGTGGGCTCGGCACCTGTGGCTCAAGTGGCTAGGGTGTCAGCCACATACACCTAAGGTGGCGGTTCGAATCCAGCCCGGCCGCCAAACAACAATGACAGCTGCAACCAAAAAAATAGCTGGGCACTGTGGCTGGGGCCTGTGGTCCCAGCGACTTGGGAGGCTGAGGCAGGAAACTCGCTTGAGCCCAGGAGTTGGAAGTTGCTGTGAGCTGTGATGTCACAGCACTCTACCCAGGAGGGCAGCTTGAGGCTCTGTCTCAAAACAAAACAAAACAAAACAAAACAAACAAACAAAAAAACCGGCCTGTGGAAGGAGAGGGTTTTCAAAGCAATTCCTTAATACAAACCTGAGACTGTTAACATGTTAGCCTTCCTACCGAATGGTCCTATAGGTTGAGAAATTTTCCCAATTTGCACTTTTCTTCTCCTGAATCTCTTTCCCAAACACAGCCACAGCCTAAAGCCCTAAACTGCAATCAAATACAGGTTCTAATAACCACGTGGCCAAAGAGCAGCGGAAACAAGAAAGGAAGCATATAAGACTATCTACCAATTATTTTACCTTTTTTAAATTTTTTTTTATTTTGGAGAGACTGGTTCTTTATTTCAAAAAAGACACTTGTCAATATTCAGTATCCAAGCAGTTGCACTATTGGTGTTTTCTTTCTCCTAATCGGCCCCAAAGGGGAACAGTCTTAGGTTTGTATTAAGGAATTGATTTGAAAACCCTCTCTTTCCACACCAGAGGAGAGTACAGTGTAAGCTAATAAGCTGCAGGATGTAGCCCTAACAGGTCTCACTCAGAGAAAACTCATCAAAAAGTGGGGCTTAGGCAGGAAAAGAAACTATCAAAGGTTTTCAGTACCCTGACAGCCCAAAACCACAGTGACCTCTCACAGCCAGATAGGGTGGCCCAAACCCAAAACCCAAGGTTTCAAAATAATATAAAAATTTTGTGAGTCTTGTACATAAGCTATTCAAGATTTCTCCAGCACCGACTGATGCAAAGTACAGTGAGATGGTACCTTTAGAGACAGCAGCTTCAGACCCAGAAAAGGGTAACGAGATGCGTTTCATATGGCTAAATTAGTGGCCAAAACACAATTTTGTTTCTTT